TTATTTGGGTAGTTCTAGGACCATCAAAGTCATCTCCAGAATTGTGGGTACTGGCAGAGTAAGAGTTAGAGTAAGAGAAGTAGGGTTTAGAGCAATGCTCAGGGTCCAGGTTTAGGATTACACCAGTCCAAAGGAGTCTCCTATCAGCCTGGGATAAATCAAAACTATAGGTCTGCCATGACTGGGGACATATTTCCATTCCTGACTTTCTACTTTTCTCTATCTATAAATTTTATGAACTGCCTTATCCAGGGTGCTTCAACAAATAAATTGATGATTTCCAAATTATATCTCTGGGATTATCTCCTCTCCAAAATTCTAGGCCCTTATCACAGTTGCCTATATGTCTTCCTCTGAATGGGTCACAGGTACCTGAAACTCAGTGTTTGAACCTAAATTTACCAATTCTTTTCCATTAAAAAAAGCACTCAAAGTTGGCCCTCTTCCTATTGTTTTCCTTATTTTAATGAATAATATCATTCTCCATCTAATTTTACCCAAATGAGAAATTCCAGATATCTCTCTTCAGGCAAAAACCAAAAATAAACAAAAACACTTATAAATTCTACCTCTTTTATTTCTCTCAAATCTTTCTCCTCTACTTCCATTCTGTTTTGTTCCCTGTTGTAACTACAGTGCTTAGAATAATTTCTGTACATTGTAGACATTCAGTAAATGATTTGTAAATGGAATAACAAAGAGAAGAGAAAAAGCACTTGAGACTGTAGGAAGCAGATAATTAAGGAAATAGACAGGAATTTAAGAKGATTTTTAACAAAAATATTTTGGAAGACATTCAAGAGAATCTTTCATCCATAAAGCAAGGACAGACAGCTATGAAAAAGGAATAGTCTGAGCAAAAGAATAGTTTCTTGGAAATAACAAAAATTTTTTTAAAGAAAAGACAACAAAACAAGCAAAGTAATAAAATTGACATAGCTTAAAGCCTAGTTAATAATCTGGAAAATAAAGTAAGGAATCTTTCTACATAAGGCAAAATAGCAGACAAAAATTATAAGAAACACTTAAAGAATAGAGACAAGAGGTCTAATACCTCAAATAGGATTTTCTAAAAGCAAAATAAATACAATAGGATCAAGGCAATAATAGAAAGAATAAAAGAACATTTCCATGAGTCCAGGAGGAAAATAATCCAAACATTAATATCCAGATGGRAAAGACCACTAAGTGCTAAGCGAAATTCAAAAACAAAAAGCAGATTGCCATATTTTATCAAATCTCAGAAGACATTGATTATAAAATGCACCATTATTTTATGTAGTCCTTGCAAGGAAAAACTGTTGCCAGTCAAGCTATGACATTGATAACAATAGTAAGACATCTCAGTATCAGAGATACTAAGTTGGGGAGGGAATATGTTTTTGTTAAATTAAGGAAATAAATACTCATTGGTGAAATTTTAGTTCTCCAAGAATTTAAAAGAGAAAGGAAAAAATAGTTTAAATGCAATGGGGAAAAAAAAGGAGATTTACATTCATGTTCTCATCAGTAATACTAGTTGTTATAAAAAATTGAACAGTTTCCAAAGGGAAGAAAAAATAGTTTGAGCCCTAGGTCTTAAAGTCTTTGAACCCTAGGTCCTAAGGTCTTAGAACCCTAGGTCTTAAGGTCTTATACCCAGCTAAACTATCAATTGATCAGATAAGAAAAATAAAGACATCTTTGAACTTGCAAAAAAACGTTTGGGCTTGTGTTGTGTTTTGTTTTGTTTTATACAGGGGATTGAACTTGTGGGCCCTTGACCACTGAGCCACATCCCCTGCCCTATTTCGTATTTTTTTATTTAGAGAAGGCTCTCACTGAGTTGCTTAGTGCCTCTCCATCGCTGAGGCTGGCTTTGAACTTGTGATCCTCCTGCTCAACCTCCCAAGCTGCTGGGATTATAGGCATGCACCATGGGAGTGGAGGTGGGGGTTGAGCAGGTGCAATAATGCACACCTGTATAATCCCAGCAGCTGGTGAGGCTATAGTAGAAGGATCTTGAGTTCAAAGCCAGCATCAGTGACAGTGAGTTTCTAAGTAACTAGTGAGACCCTGTTTCTAAATAAAATACAAAATAGGGCTGAGATGTGGCTCAGTGGTGGAGGGCCCCCAAGTTCAATCCGGGGTACCTCCTGCTCCCCAAAACAAAGAGTTTACCATTCATGAAACCTGCATGAAAATTAAAAAAATTACTGTAGCCAAAAATAAAATGAATGAAACATGCAAGGTGATAATGGGCACAAGAAACAGGGGAAACGGRGAATGACTCAAAAGCAAGGGAAGGTAGAAAAAAATAAATGTTGACACATGCTCACTTGGAAGAGTCTGGCTTTGATAACAGGTGTGCACTCCCTTTCTCTGGGATCCAGTTACACTACTTGGTTTTATGGGAATATGAACATATTGTAAATGCTATTTATTAGACTTCCATTTTTATAATCAAAGAGATTAATAAGGCATGGAAGTTATATATATATATATATATATATATATATATATATATATATATATATATACACACACACACATACACACACACAATGTAAAAGAATAGTATTCCTTTGAAAATTGAGAGACAGAGGGAGAAAAGAGTATTGAAAAAGAAAAGAGAACAAATAAATTTCCCAACATGGAATTCATAAGTCAAAATATATTATGAATGTAATGCACTCCACTATTGTCATGTATGTAAGAAATTTTAAAAAGTCAAAGTATAGAAATTTATTAATATTAGTCATGATAAAAGTAACCATATKAAGGGCTAAACACACACAAACAAAAAATGGGCATATGGAGTAGAGAGAGGAGGTAGAAGATAATGTAGACACTCCAAATTCCTAATCTCTGTTGTAAGGGAGTCCAAATAAATGTTATTATTTATTTATAATAATAACCATGAGCAACACTGAAGGAAGGGGCTAAGGGCAAAACTCAGTGGTAGAGAATGTGGTTAGCATGCACAAGGCCCTGAGCTCAATCTCTAGTACCAAAAATAAGAGCAAGAAAGAAAGAAAAAAAAAAACTAAATTCTTAGCTTCTGAGAGTTGAGAGTTTTATGTTRGAGTATGCTATTGAAATTTTATTTTAAAAATATTCATATGCATTTTCAATCATTAAACATAAAGTAATATGAATAAAGGAATAAATAGGTTGGTCCATAGAGATAAATGGTAGCATATATGAAGTACTCAGTACAGAATAGGCACTCCATAAATTGTAGCTTTTATGGCTGTTATTACAAATTTTGTTATTTGTCTGTGTGGCAGTAGATGGCAACTGGATTCATCTCTGCCTGCCCCTTTTATATTTTATCAGACATATGGAGAGTTGGCTCAAAGCTTCACTTGTTGCCTTGTAGTATCCTAACACATGTCTCAGAGTTTCGGCAGACCTATTGCAATTACTTTCTTCTGATGTTTTTTTTCTGTATCTTGGCTCCTTCTTCCACTGAATTAAGTCAGTCTCTGAATCTCATCATTTTCCATTTGTATTTCATTTAATCAGATACTGAATTCCATCTGATTCTGCAATTTCTATTAAAACCTCCCACACATATACACCTTTATATGTGTAAGTTTGTGAAGGTTGAAGAAGGTAAGTGATAGGGAGAGATAGTTTCATTTTACATGGAGCACTGAACATCTCCCTGGGCACTGATCACCAGCAGTCTGGCATACACCACCCGCCCTGTGGTTTTGCAGGGCACATTTCCTACCTTCACCCCAGCCCTCACTCTGATTGCTCAGGGGAGCTCTAGGTTCCTTTTCCTTTATGCTGCAGAATCCTTGAACCCCTGTTTCAGACCCTCCTTGACAGAACCAAAACCACCCAGAGTRGCAACATACCAAAGGGCCTTGTGGGTCACAGAACCTATTCAGAGAGTATTATGGKGATAGTAAGTAGCAACTTTTCTCTGTATTGTAAGAAATAAAGGGATCATTAACCAAGATGTTTTTTTCTTTTAGCAAACTAAAATCTCACCTAAGTTTCCTGTGGATTCAGTGGATACCCAACGTGAACCCTCCAAAAGAAAAAAGGATGAAACGGTAAAATTTGACCTATCACTGCAGTGMAACACATTTTTTTAAAAAACAGGAATACTTGTTTTAACAGTAGTAAAGAACTGGGGAATATGACTAGCATATTTTAAAGTCTCAATCTCCTTTCCCTAAAATCACATCTTGGTGCATTCATTTGAAATGTTGTATTTACCTTGGTTTATTTATTTATTTTTTAGGGTCAAGTTAAACATCTACCACCCACGAAGACGCAAGAAGAAAGGAACGCGAAAGCCTCAGCGACTAGGGTATGATAAGCATTATTATTAACCTAGTTGTTCATATTGATTCTGGCTCTTCTTACAAAGCAACAATGACTTTGGAAGCTATCCTGTCTGTGAAGAGACAGAAAAAGTCAATTTCCTCTTTAGTATGATTCGGTAGCGCATTACTGCCACATCCCCAAACTATCACTTATGACACGTCTACAAGTCCTTTGTTAGAGATTCATTCCTTTGGCTAAAATCTTTGTCCCCTTGCAAAAATATGAAGAGTACTGAAAAATGACTTAAAACCTTAGTGTCATTGATTCAGTCAGATCCTTTCCTAAAAAGTGTTTTGATAGAAATGGAAAGTAAGAGCGTGAGGGGGATGTTCCTGCCTCTGAAGAGAGATGGAAAGGCCACAGTGAAAGAGGGGGGCAAAAGAAATGACTGGTGGGGGATGGGGGGCATGATGATGAAGTTTGATTGCTTTGTCATATGATTTAGAACTGATTTCCTTTAAGTTAATCATTCCTAGGAAATGGAGGCATGGGGGTCTTAAATTCTTCTGGTTTATAGAAATTTGCAAGTAACTCTAACTCATGGTTTTCTCAAGTTACATTCAAAGGCAGTTAGAATATGCATGCTATTTAATAGAAATGGCCATTTCAGATCTAGGGAGAAACAGGGCATATTGTATATGGAATTAACTTTGTGGTTTACATTCTATTGAAAGGATGAAGGGAGAAGAATTTTGGAGATGCACGTGGAAACGTTAAAGGCTAATTTGGAGAATCAGAAGAAGAAATTAGAAAGGTACTGGAAAGGGCAATTCATTACGATTCCTTTGTAGCCAATCCAGCATTTAACTATCTGTAAATTTATTACAGATGTAAAAAGGAATCAGAGCAGATAAACAAAAACTGGGAGAGGAAATTCCATATTCTCAGGAACAGGTATGGTATGCAAATTCTATTTATAAAAATGGCAGTATTCATAGTTTGAGGAAATTAGGAGCCTTGCATTTTTCTTTATATATTTAATTAATGTTAAGTGCCCTCATATACTTTGAATAGTCAGAGTCACTTAAAAGAAAATTGAATTTAAGATTATTGCATTCTCTATTCCAGTGTTTCAAGTTTAAAAGCTCAATAGGACAGGCAGACTCCCTTGATACCTTGTCTAATCAGACCCATCTAGTCAACTTTCTCTACAGAGCCAATAAGACATTTGCACACAAAATGTGACTGGTCTGTATCATGAGATTTTTTTATATATACTAGATCCTTTATTCTATTCTTTTCCTTTTAACACCAACTTCTTCATCCTTGGATGCATTTTTCACTAACATAATCATTTAATGGTTCTTCCTTGTATCATTGTCATCTTTTTTTTTAATGGTGAAAATGAAATTCTAAATTAAAGGGAGATCATTAGAGTAGAGGAAAGGAACAGGGGAGGGAGGAAGGGAGAAAGTTCTGGGGAGTGATATTGACCAAATTATATTGTTATTATGTGTGCATGTACAGATATGTAACAGCAAATCCCATCAATTTGTACAACAATAATATAGCAATAAAACATGGGAAAAAATAAAATGAACCTGTTAAGAATCTGATAAGGCAAATAGAAATGCCAAATAGAGAAAATGCCTATTTTTTCCCTTTTCCTCACATATTAACCTTAAAAAATCTATGTTCTGTTTACTTGTTTCTTAACATAATTTCCCCCAGATCCCCTTCTTTATCACATGTTGGAAGTTCCTTTGCAAGATTTTTAATAGTCAATCATCATCCAGATCATGACAGAATCAATATTGATGTGACAGAGTCAATCCAGTCAGTCTTGCGGCTCACGCGTGACATCATGGAACCACGATGCCCTATGTGTGGGCTGTGTTTCATAAGCTCATGCTGTGTTCATAGCAATTCCTGTGCACATTACACCAAAATTATTAATCCAGGGTGGCACACCAGAACCCACAAATCAGAAACAACACTGGATGGGGAGCAGAAGCTCCTCTCCTTGTAGAAAAATGGTGTGCCTTGTGCTCCTAGTTGTGTTGATAACTGTTTTGCACTCTACAAAATATGTCTGTTAATATCTGCCTGATCTACTTCTTACAAGGCAGAATGTAGATACAGGCAAAGCAAAAGAAAACTTAAATATGCATTTAATTTCATTCTTCTGGACAAGGATTTGAACTCTGATGCTGAATGGAACATCTTTCCCTAAATAGTTTTGTGGGATTCTCTTTGATCCTTAAGATTTAGTTCATGTCTATTTAGTTCCAGTCCATGATTTATATTTACCTCATGGTGAAGCTCCCTTTCCATGTCTGTTGAGTTGGTTCAATTTCCAGGAAGGCTGAACATAAAGAAGTGCTGTTGACAAGGATGGGGGCTGGTCCTTTCTCTTAGTGTGACCTGCCTGACATTTATCATCATTGTCATTTCTCTTAGCACAGATGGGTGTGACACGTAGGCCCAGGACCATATAGATCCCTACCTGGCAGAYGTTAGAGTGATGTAGCAGCCTCTCCCACCTCCATGACAGGAGACAATCCACGTGCCTCCGCCTGAGCCATGCCCTGGTTCTGCCTGCTGCGCTGTGAGGCTGGCTGGTCTCACTTCTGCCCATCACACTTCCCAAATTCATAGAAAACTGGTACATGATTCCCCCCATAGGGGTTTCCCAGATGGAAACCCCCTCCTGACCTCTTCTCCTCATCCTCAGGCACTGGACCACCATCCCTTCAGGTAGCTGACTATCTATGAGAACTTACAAACATGAAAGGTACAGGCCCACTCTGCTCATTTATTCTCTTCCTCCTCCCTCTCCTTGGAACCCATTGTAAAGCCCCTCATCATTAGATTTGGGAGAGGGTACATTTAGGTTCCTTACTTCCTCTTCTTTCCCCAATTTTCTGTCTTCTCTAGCTTGCCTCCTATGTCAGAGGACAATGATCAATTTTCCTGGTACACATGTCTTCCCAGCCTCTGAAGTTTCACACCTGACAAACCTCAAGTCTTGTGTCTTTGTTCTCAGCCCACAGAAGGATAATAATATAGAAAAAAAAAGAACCAGGCATTTGAGTTCTATATATCTAGTTTTCACTTGAGTATACTCACAACACATTCATTTCATCTTAAGTGAAATCCAGATTTCTTAAGAAATGCACAAGCCAAACCAAAATAACTCTGAACTCTTGGGTAGCCAGTGGCTTTTATAAGTCTTATCCCTGCCTCTCATTCCAGCTGTCTGAATTCTTCTCAGAAGCTAAGTCCAGGTAGTTGAGAAAATGGGATGGGCCTGGATTATGAAACTCAAGAGTGTTCAGAAGACCTAAGGCCCTGTGCTTCCAGGAATTGGAAGTCCATTTGCTGATATCTTAAGAATTTTCTGTGTTCATAAAAGAATTGAACAGCTACTGTGCTTTCTCCTGTTGTCCTCGACAGCTGTTGGTGTCACAATCACACTGGCTTCATAACATGATTGTGGAGAGCCTTTTTAAATTCTAGGAGAGATTTGGGGGATAAAATGAGAATTATTTGTTGCTAGATGGTTTAGTAAAACTTTCTCTTTAATTGACCAGACTGAATGTTTTCTTTATGAGCAAAGTTTAAATGACTGACTGTGTTTTTGTTTTTGCTACTGTTTTGTTTTGTTTGTAGTGCTAAGAATCAAAGGGCCTCACCCATGCTAGGCAAGTGCTCCACCACTGAGCTACAACCCCAGCTCCTGATTCTTGTTCTATTTCATTGTTTAAAGGCCTTGAAGACTATTAATTTTTTTCTAATTTCTTTTTAAATTTATTCATAGTTATATTTTTTTCCATGAAATTGGGCAACTTGCATAATTCTTCCAAATTCTTGTTAAAAAGTTATTCTTAAATGTAGGTATAAGTTTCCTATTGCTGCTGTAACAAGTGACCACAAAGTTTATTGGTTTAGAACAACACCAATTTGTTATTTTATAGTCTGGAGGTCAGAGATCCAAAATGATTCTTACAGGGCTTAATCTGAGTTGTTGGTAGGGCTAGTTTCTTCTGAAGACTCCAGGAATAACAAGTTCTTTGCCTTTTCTCACTCCAATCTCTACTTTCCTCATCACATCGCCTACTCCTTCTCCTCTCTGATCTTCCTGCTTCCTTCTTCTTAAGTCCCTGTGGCTACATTGAAGCCACAAGATAATCCAACATAATCACTTCATCTTAAAATCTTTAACTTATTCATATCCACAAAATCCCTTTTACGGTGTGAAGGAATACACTCAGGTTCCATGGAACAGGAAGTGGATATTTTGGTGGAGGACAACATTCAGCCTACCAAAATTAATCTTTTAGCCACCAAATATTTATGCTTATCTCACATGCAGCATGCATTCACCCCATCTGAGTGTATTCCAAAGTCTCGGCCCATTACAGCTTCTACTCAGATCTAAAATCTCATCTGTGAGTCATCTCAAAGGTCCCCGTTCTCAAGATCTAAATTAGGTATTGGTGAGACTCTGGTTAAAATCCATTCTGGGACAAAATTCCTCTCCATCTGTGGACTGAAAACACACTATTTTCTCGAAAATACAATGCATAATTTCTTCAATTTTAAATCAGTGAGAAGTTGGCCACTGCATTGTTTTGATATAATCTTTCATGATTTCCCTTGATTTCTGGTAGAACAAAATCTCCCAGGTTTATCTTGTACATTCACTGGCTTAGATCTAGAAATAGTCATTTTTGAAAGATGACCTGATTTATTTTAGTGAGAAATTTTTTTTTTAAGCCACAGCCTGAGCCATGGGGGGGTGGTGGTGGCCCATTTTCATTAATTCTATGCCTTTTCAAATAATAAAAATACATGATTTTTTTCAAGTAATAAGTTCATACTAATTTTTTGAAATTTTTACTTGGTAATATTTTTAACTTTTATTGTGATTCTTAACCACATTAACACAATACTTATTTTCTTTGCCCTATGAATTATATACATTTTAATTCCTTAGTTTTATTTATTTCAGCTTTCATGTCCTAAAGGATGAGATGTTTACTAGGCACACACTGTTTCGTCAGTTTGCAGTGCTCGCTGATACATCCTTCAATTATGTGGTAAGTATACATCATCTTTTATGCTATTGTGTCTTTGGATATACATGTCTGTCTTTCTGTTTTTATCATGTATTGAACTCCTGTTATTATAGGCTCTGGATGTAGTGCATGCCAGTCACTCTACTACATGCTGAGGGCATAAGACAAAGTTCATAGACCCCAAGAGCTCAGTCTAATGTGAGATGTAGAGGTGTAAACAGATTGTTACAGTGCAGTGGGACTGAGCTATAAGAGAAGCAAATGCAAATTTCAGAGACGGGGTGACTCATTCTAGCTGGAGAGTCTATTAGTCTGCCCATTCATGGTCATGAACACAGTGTTGGCAAATACTAAAACTCAAGGTTCAAGTATTCAGTCACTTATGACAGGGAAAAGGAGGTAAGTACCAAGTCATTCATTTTTATATTAGAGGTTGTATTAGCTTTCAATCACTATAACAAAGTACCTGAGACAAATTACTCATGTAGAAAGAGGTTTATTTAGCTTACAAAGTTCTGGAATTTCAAAGTCCAAGCTTTGGACATAGTACAAGCTCTGTGGCAAGTGCTGCCCTTTGGCCATGTCATCTAGTGGCTTATACAATGTCAGAGCATATGTTGGAACAAGTGGTCGTATTTTGAACCAGGAAGCAGAGAAAATAGGAAGAACTAGGCTTACTCCTTTTAGGCAACCCTCTCAGGAGAACTCAAGGGGTTGCACAAGAACTACCTTATAATAGGACACCCAATGATCTTAGAATCCCCCTCGCTAACACCCCCCTTAAGGTCCCACCACCTTCCAGCACCACCCTTGGGACCAAGCCTCCAATACATAAACCTTTGGAAAGACACAAGTAAACCATATCCAAACCATATCCAGGTCATCTATAAAAGCCCAATTCTGAATTCGAGTATTATTTACTTATTGCTTTCATTTTTAAATGTAACTGATACCCAGTATAGAAACATATCCAATAAAATTCCACTAATCCTTAACTGAGAATATAGCTCAGTTGGTAGAGTGCCTGCCTGTCATGTATAAGGCCCTGGGTTCAATCCCCAGAACCACCAAAAAAAAAAAATCACTAATAAGTAAATCAGCATGATATAGACTCTCTGGAGCTTCTGCTATAATGCTAAGTTTTCTGAAGATAGAAAAGTAAGGTTTGTAGGAAGGAACACAATAAACAAAATATGGTTTTTTGCAGGTTTTTTTTGTTTCAAGAGGTAAACAATTGAAAATATTTTTTCATTTAAGATTATTTTCTAAATTAAAGTTGCTACAGGAGATCAAATAACTTGAGTACACTGGCAAGATAATGTTGAATTCATTGTTTTTTAACCAGCTTTTTACAGTAGTCTGTACTTTACTGAGGATTTTAATAATTGACTTCCCTGAAATGTTCTCGAACTAGACTACATAAATAGGAATATACATAGTATCTTTCTTCCCTGTTGGTTTTTCCTCTCACTGAAAGGTTACAATTTTAATGGGAGCAATATTTTATTTTAGGTATTAATTAAATATAATATGGGAGGGCCCATGAAAAGGCTGTGCCACTCAAAATCAGATTTTTCCATGATTATTATTGGCAAGATTTTCTGGTACAGATCTGAATTATCCAGCCTTCACGAAACAGACTTCTAAATCTTTAAGTTATACCAGTTCATGTCCATTAGTAGATTCAGTCTTTTTTTCTTGAGATGTTGCCCTCAAATAACCAGGAAATTCATGGAGGAGGAATGGTGCTCTGTCTAGTCTGGAAAGCACCCGTGTGTCACTTACTCACCAAGGGAAGGTTCATGAGTCTTTATCTGTATATCCACCCAGAGTATTGACACTTGACCCACTCAGCAGAGCAAATAGCATGTGTTTAAGTAAAACAGATAAAGAGGGATTGAGCAGGTGTATGAGTGAGTTTGGGATAAAATAGCATTGTCCCTCAGTACCCTACACCATGTCACTTATCCACTCCAGGGATATTTATTAAATGCAAAACGAACCAAGCACCATAGTACTTACTGGGAGAAAGACGGTGAGCAAGACAGTATGGGTCCTCCCTTGATAGACTGTAAATCCCATGGGATCACAGATGGGTTTATCTTATAAACTGTTTTATCTGCAGAGCTTAGAATAGAACCGGACCTATAGACTAGAATAGGTTAACTTTAATAGAGGAACATCAAACTTTAAATTTCAAATTTGAATAAATTCTATAAAAAGGAATGACTTACTGTTGAGGTCTCTCTTACATATGATGAAATTCACAAATATTACAAGCGTCATTTGAGGGGTTCTAAACTATGTAACCATCATCAAAAGTTCCCTCACGTTCTTTTCCACACAATACATGGTCCACATCCTCACACCTTTGAGGCTTTTGTTGCTGTTTTGGGTGATAATTGAACCTGGGGCCTCAAACATGCTAGGCAACTGCTATACCACTGAGCTACATTGTCAGGCCATAGTACATATTCTCTGTCCTCTGGCTTATTTTACACAACACAGCATTTTAAGATCCATTCATGTCTTTGTGTGTATCTGTCACAGGTATTCTTCTTATTGTTGATTAGTATACTATTGTATTACCACAACAATAGTTACGCATGTAATATTTGTGAATTTCATCATATGTAAGAGAGACCTCAACAGTAAGTCATTCCTTTTTTATAGAATTTATTCAAATTTGAAATTTAAAGTTTGATGTTCCTCTATTAAAGTTAACCTATTCTAGTCTATAGGTCCGATTCTATTCTAAGCTCTGCAAATAAAACTGTTGTATTATTCATTATTTCCTTGTTATAACAGCTCAGCTATTTCCATTAGGAACTATTGTGGAAAAAAAAAACTATTAGGGCTGGGGATGTGGCTCAAGTGGTAGCGCGCTCGCCTGGCATGCATGCGGCCCGGGTTCGATCCTCAGCACCACATACAAACAAAGATGTTGTGTCTGCCAGAAACCAAAAAATAAATTTAAAAAAATTAAAAAAAAAAACCGCTATAAACATTCTTGTACAAGCCAAGCATGCCTGATATCTCAGCTACTCGGGCGTCTGAGACGGGAGGATTGCAAGTTGGAAGCCAACGTTGGCAACTTAGACTTTGTCTCAAAAACAAAAAATAAAAAAGGGCTGGGGATGTAGTTTAGTAGTAGAGCACTCTTGCGTCCAATCCCCAGTAAGGAGAAGGAAAAGAAAGAAATTATCGCATGAGTCATTTGTGAAAGTCTGTTTTCATCATTCCCAGATAAGAGCAGAATGGCTGAGACACAGGAAGCACGTACGTTGAACTTTATTAGAAATTGCAAATATTCCAAAGTAGCTATGTAATTTTACTCACCCTCCACGAAGCCTTAAGAGTTCCAGTTGCTCTACATACTCCCCAACTTGATATTATCAGTTTTTAATTTTTAGCAATTTTATTTTTACTTTTTTAATATTTTGTTCTAGTTGTAGTTGGGCACAAGACCTTTATTTTATTTTTATGTAGTGCTGAGGATTGAACTTAGCGCCCTGCGGGTGCTAGGCGAGCACTCTACCGCTGAGCCACAACTGCAGCCCCAATTTTTAGCCATTTTAAATGATGTTTCATTGTAGTTCCAATTCCCGTTTTTCCTGATGTTGATGGTGTTGAACATCTTTTCATGTACCTACAGACCATTCTTAGGTATTTGTGAAGGGTCTATTCAAGACTTTTTGAAAAAAAGTTGTGGGACAATACATATAACAGAAACATTGCCATCTTGACCATTTTTAAGTAGACAGCTCATGTGTTTTAAGCACATTCACATTGTTGTACAACCAAACCCTGTAACTCTTTTTAAAATTTTTTATTAGTTTTAATTAGTTATACATGAAAGCAGAATTCACTATAGTACATCATACATAAATGGAATATAACTTCTCATTCTTCTGGTTGTTCATGATGTAGAATATATGTACAAAGGGTAATAATGTCTGATTCATTCTACTATTCTTCCTACCCCCATACTCCCTCCCCTCCCCTAATCTAAAGTTAACTCTATTCTTCCTTAGCTCCTTCCCCTTATTGTGAGTTAGCATCTGCATATTAGAGAGAACATTCGGCCTTTGGTTTTGGGGATTGGTTTATTTCACTTAGCATGATATTCCCCAGCTCCATCCATTTACCAGTAAATGCCATATTTCATTCTTTTTTTAAGGCTGATTAATATTCCATTGTGTATATATACCACACTTTCTTTATCCATTCATCTTTTGAAGGACAACTCAATTGGTTCCATGGTTTATCTATTGTGAGTTAAGCTGCTATAAACACTGATGTGGTTGCATCACTGTGATATGTTGATTTTAAGTTCTTTAGGTATAAACTGAAGAGTGGGATAGCTGAGTCCAATGGTAGTTCCATTCCAAGTTTTCTGAAGAATCTCCATACTGCTTTCTATAATGGTTGCACCAGTTTGCAGTCCCACCAGCAATGTGCGAGTGGACCTTTTTCCCCACATCCTTGCCAACATTTATTGTTGTTTGTTCTCGATAACTGCCATTCTGACTGGGGTGAGATGAAATCTTACAGTAGTTTTGATTTGTATTTCTCTAATTGCTAGAGATGTTGAACATTTTTTTCATATATTTGTTATTCAGTTGTATTTCTTCTAGGAAGTGTCTGTTCAGTTCCTTAGCCCATTTATTGATTGGGCTATTCTTGTTTGTTCACCTTGCAAAACTGAAACTCATTAAACAACAACTCAACTCCCCATCTCCCATCTATGTACTATTGTCTATTTTTAATTGTTATTGAATGCAGGGGGTTTTGTGGTGTTTCTGGGGGTTTTTGTTTGTTTTGTTTTGTTGTTGTTTTTTTCTGGGTACAAGTCCTTTGTCTTCAAAAATTAGAAGTTTTTGGTTTTAATGAACACCAACTTACCTTTTTTTCCCTGTGTCAGATTGTATTTTCTGTGACCATGACTGTACCACACATACCATGGGTTCTTTTTTTAATATGGTTGTGTTTTTTCTTTTTCTCATTGACTTTCCTGGTTCCTTCATTCTAGACTAAACCACTGTGTACATCTGAATCTATTTCTAAACACTCTGCTTCATTCTGCTGGTTTATTTGGCAATCCTTTGGCCAAAAACTTATAGCCCAAATTTATAGCATTTTGTAAATCTTAAACTCAGGTACTGTAAAACCTGTTTTATTCCTTTGTTCAGAATTGTCTTGTCAGTTCTTTTTGAATCAGCAACTCTAGTCCTTAAAAAAAATTGCTATGATTTTTATTGGAATTTTGTTGGATTTCAGTTTCTTAATCTCACTAGCCAGTGCTTTATCACATCTAGTCTAAGTAAATCTATGACAACAATTTCTTTTCAACTCTTGAGGCTTTGCCCCATGGCAAACTAGTAGACATAGTTGTCTGGTAAAGCATCAGTATTTCATATATAATATGCTTCATGTATAGTATATGTTATATATTATGATGTTCTTTCACTCAGCTGAGTTCTTGCTATATAATTCCAACTAAGGCTCCAAATTTATAGTGGAATGGGGATCTGCTGCTAAACTGTATGCCTGTGGTGGGCCCTGGGTTTTGACCTCCGGCTGAGTCCTAGGAACCTTTGACAATCCTTTCACATATTCACTAAATTTGTCAAATGCCCTCAAAGTGAATGGGAGCTACAGAATGGAAGTCAGAGGTTTCTACCTTCTCTTAGCCTTATACCTGAGCTTTTTTTTTTTTTTTTCACTAAGGATTGAACCCAGGGGGGGCTCTACCACTGAGTTACATTCCCAGCCCTTTTTATCTTTTATTTTGAGACCAGGTCTCCCTAAGTTGCTGAGGCTGGCCTTGGACTTGTAATTCTCCTGCCTCAGCCTCCCAACTCTCTGGGGTTACAGGCGTGCACCTCTATACCCAGAAGACCTGAGTGCTCTTGATGCTTTTCATCAGCTTATGGCTACCATGAAGAATATAACAAATGGAGTCTTATTTGCATTTCAATTGAGTTTTATTTGCATTTCAGTTCTACTCCTGTATTTTATTTACTTATAATTCTTCCTTGTCACATCCATAATTCTCTTGCATTTGATTCTCAGCCTATTTGTTATCAGATCTTCTATCTTTGTTTCCTGGAGGTGGTATAATCTTGTACTTTATTGTCTAGGTCAAAAATCTTAAATGAGTTTTTTTCTTCTAGGTTAAATAATAGACCATTTTTAAAAAATGTATATGCTTCCTATGATTTCTGAATATTGTTTTCTTTCTTTCATATTACCTGTTCTATTGATTCTGTTCTCCTCCTTGTCAGGATAAGATAAATGGAAATCCAGGGTTATCACTTGTGTCCTTGCTCAAATCTCCCTTTCACATTTATAGCTAGAAGGCAGGTCCATGTGCACAGCACCTATTCCTATCCCTAATTTGTCAGAGTTTTACATTTTCAACCCTGTCATTAAAAGGCTGTATCTTCCACTAAGAGTATGTAACAACAGAATACAGAACTTAAATTGCCAGCAATCATACATTTAACAGTGGGTTTTTATTGTTGTTGTTGTTCTGTTTAGTTCAACATGACAATAGAATGTATTTTGACATATCAAATATACATGGAATATAACTTCCCATTCTTGTAGCTGTACATGATGTGGAGTTACACTGGTCATATATTCAATATGAACATTGGAAATTATGTCCATTCTACTCTCTTTCTATTCCCATTGCCCCTCCCTTCTCATCATTCCCCTTTTCTAATCCAATGAACTTCTATTCTCCCTTCCCCAACCCCCTCCTGCTTTTTGTGAGTTAGTATCTGCATATCAGAGAGAACATTCAGCCTTTGGTTTAGGGGGGATTGGCTTATTTCACCTAGCATGATAATCTCCAGTTCCATCCATTTACCAGTAAATGGCAYAATTTCATTTTTCTTTATGGCTGAGTAATATTCCATTGTGTATGTACCACATTGTTTTTATTCACTCATCTGTTGAAGGGCACCTCAGTTGGTTCCATAGTTTAGCTATTGTGAATTGAGTTGCTATAAACATTGGCATGGCCACATCACTGTAGTATGCTGATTTTAAGTCCTTTGGGTATATGCTGAAAAGTGGGATAACTGAGTCAAATGGTGAGTCCATCGCAAGTTTTCTGAGGAATCTCCATACTGTTTCCCAGAGTGATTGCACCAATTTCTAGTCTTACCAGCAATGTATGAGTTAACACTGGCTTTCTTTACTATTTTCATGAAAGACAGGAAGGTAATTGGGTAAGGAGTCATGAGGACATTCTAGATGGGATAGAACCATGGGAAGGTTCTAAGACGAAGGTGTGCCTGGCACCCAGCTTTGCTGGAGCTGAAAGTAAGAAAGTAAAGTAGTAAATTGTGGTCAGAGGGGTCACATAACTCTGATTTTTGTAATCCAAGAAAAATTGGGAACCCCGAGCTATGCAAAACACATTATATGAGTAATATATGCAACTCTTCCATTTGTATAAAAGTATAGCAATACAATTATGTACAGTACCTACTACTTGATAATGATTATAAATGACCTCAATAAAATAGGAATTGATGGTTTAAAAAAAAAACCCTGAGCTATATGTATGAACCTTAGACTTATTTTCCATAAGTATATTTTATGTTCCTAAGATTCTTTTGACCTGCACAAATTAAATGTCATTTACTTTGCACTACATGATATTGGTGACAATTCTGCCTGCATGCTGCTGCTTCTGACCTCCTAGAAGAAAACGAAATTTTTTTGCCTATTCAGTTCTTGGCAGTCGGGCCACCATTGCTGTCACTTCCAGTAGCGAGGTGGTACTGGAAAGGATCCAGTGGTTCCTCACCAATTACAAATATAGTTGCTGCTCCATATCTACAGGTAATTAGTTCCAGGACCCCAACAGACAACAAGATCCTTGGATGCTCAAGTCCCTTATTTAAAATGGCGTGCTATTTGCTTATAACCAGTATACATCCTCTTGAATACTTTAGATCATTTCTAGACTATTTATGATATCTAATCCAATGTAAGTACTATGTAAGTAAATGGCTATTATACTGTATTATTTAGGAAATAATAACAAGAAGAAAATCTGTATGTGTTCAGGAAATTGTTGCTGTGTTGATTTTGGGGGGGTTGTTATCTTTTCATTGTTRCTGTTGTTGTTTTTAGTGTTTTCTACTTGTGATTGCTTGATCTGCAGAATCTGAAAACAAAGAACTTGTGGATAAAGAGAGCAGACCTATAATGCATCCCAAGTTGAAGGGACAAGCAAGAGAAAATAGAATCAGAAGAGTCTGAGGAAAACATGTTTCTTGAGTTTTTTTCCTCAAAATAGCCTGAATAAAGAAGGGGGAGAGGTCCTTCCCATCATTGATTTAAAGAAAAGGATTTCTCCATCCATCTTTGAGGAAATTGGAGTTATGAGCATAGTTTTCATATCTAAGTTAATTGAGGGTTGATCCCCCTTGATCCCAATAAACATACCTTTTGTGTCTTTCAGAAAGTGAAACCTTTATTTGTGCAGTCTAGATTAAACTTGGAAGACACCGCATCTTCTTCAAGTGATTATCATTTGACTTTGGTAGGAAGATTGTTTTTCCCTATTAAATATCTAATCAGTTAATATTATTGAATATCAGTAATGAAATTTTTGGTCTACTTACAGATAGAAAAAAAGTACCCAGAAACAGTTAGTGATCAGCTCTCCTTGCATCAATCACCCAGAGGTAAGAATCTTGGGGTCTGGTGGTGGCTTAGTGGTAAAGTGCTTGTCTGGCATGCTTGAGACCCTGGGTTCAATCTCCAGTAACTTCCAAAAAGAATAAGAAGGACATAAAAATCTTTATTGTTAGAAAGAGGTTTACACACAATATGAGTAGTTAGTCTTGATTAACTTTTTACTTTTTTTTACCCTAAGATATTTGGTATTCTGGGCGACTCTTTTCAGCCAATTTATAAAAGTAATGCATAGATAAGATGAATAAAGATATATTAACATGTATTCCTGAATTCTAACCACTGCTAATTGAAAATAAATTTAGTCTGTTTCAAAATCAGAAACTGTCTCAGCTGGAATCCTGTTTCTTGTTTATTAAACTGCCAACAAATATGAAGCTCTTCGTAATGTCCTGTTTTTCCAGGGCTTCATTGGACTTTTTAAAAACTGGAAGTTGTTTTTTTTGTTTTGTTTTTTTTTTTTTTTTTTGTCTACATGTATCTGTAAGACTTTTCTCTAAATTTAAAAACCAAATAGGAAACATACTTAACTACATCTTCCTTCAATCATGTTTTCTAAGGACTCCAGCTGAGGGCATTCAGGGGCAAGGCAAGTAAGTGAATTTAAAGGAATTCATTGCTGAAAGTATATTCATTAGTAGGCTGTGATAAGCAAGTTGAAATTACAAAGTATAACACTGTTAGTTTAAATTATTGATCATGACCTAAGAGTGTCAGTAATTTGTTTTTCATATCCAGAAAGATTTAAAAGTAGAGTTTGTTAATGAGTCTTTATGCAAAGAGGAAGTATGTGATAAGAGTTTAAGTCCTAGACCCCTGAGGGTCAAATCCTCTACTTTTTGAAAACTTCAGCAGAGATACACGAAGAATCTCTCCTTTTCCTGGGCCTCTATCCAAWGGAGAAAGTTTTCCATGGTGCTTATATGTATGAGTGATATCAGTTCCACAGGCACCTTAAAAGGACTCTTTCAACAATCAGTGATGGCTACCTCTTGAGCTGATACTTACATTACCATTAATGCTGAGTTTAGATTCCATAGCATGCATCTGCTAGCTTAAGAAGCAGCGAGCTTTAAAGGTATTGTCATTTAAATATCTAATTAAATATCTGTTGAGTTTGTTGGACATTCTAACCCATATGGTAAGTTATTTCTAAAGCATTTTAGTATACTGATGATTTATCATAAAAATGTGGATTGGTAACCTATAGTTGACCTGAAATTTTAATAGGAAGTTTAGTTAACTACAGAATTTCATTCCCCCAAATATTCATCTGAGGATTTTTCATCCAAAAATTGACTTTCCCAGCCAAAAAAAACCCCCATTTTGTAGAGGAGCCAGATGCAGTGACACATGCCAGTAATCCCAGCTATTCAGGAGGATGAGGCAGGAGTATCCCAAGTTCACACCCAGCACAGGCCATTTATTGAGAAACTACCCCCAAATCCAAATTAAAAGGGCTGGGATATAGTTCAGTGTAGAGCATACCTAGGTTTAATCTTCAATACCACAAAAAAAGGTCCAAAAGTCCATCTCAGGTAACACAAATAATGGATACCTGTTACGAAAAAGATCACTTGCTGAAATAAACACTCCCACTCCCTTTCCTCATCCCTGAAGATGCAAAATGCAGTTACCTCCACTCTCTTTGCTGAAAATCCTCCTAAGATTCATTAGTTCTTTTCTTTGCTTTGCTGATAAAATTAAATATAAACGCCCTCTTATGACCCAAAACTCAGTACCATATCACAAAGCTCATGATTTGGAATATTAGTTATGCATTGTAGAGGAGATGTGTGAAAATTTTTATACCAAATGCCTCTGGACAGAACCCTGAAGTTTCTTCCTATTAAATCTCTGATACAAAATGAAAAGGGAACCTTAAAAAGAAAAACAAATAAATATCTGATACAACTTCAACGTATCATGTTCTTCCCTCTGAAGATAGTGAAATATCTTAGATAGGAAAATAATCTAGTTAACAAAGTTTCTGGTGAACTGGTTCCAGTTACTCCATAATTTATTAGGAATGAACTTTCTATGTTTGTTGAACAAAAACAAATGAAAAAGTAGGACAAAAGATTAATTACTAATTTACTAATCTGAGGAGTAAATGAATTTTCTCATTAGAAAACTATCTTTAATGGCTTGTAGAGGGTTTTCATGATTGACTTTCAAAGGGTCAGATTGACCACCAAACACGTCATTTCCTACCCCTAGCTACTTGGGAATGTTGAGAAGCCCCTAGTAAATAATCTAATACACTATCAGTATTTTCAGGCATACATGGTTAATATGTGTCTGATAAATAAATGTTTATTATCTTCTATAACATGAAGGGAGGGATATTGTGATGTAGCTGGTAACAGATCCCAAACCAAGCTCTTTCAAATCACTGTTGTTTTTTGTTCCATTTTTAAAAAATATGCAGAAAGAATATTAATATTTACAGTCTCTTACTGAAAATTATTCTCTCTGACAGGATCCTCAGCATCACATCAAAGATTTAAGTTCTTAGGTTGTACTTTCACACCACAGAATACTTTTAAATGTATATAGAGCTACCAGGTGTGGTGGCACGTGTCTATGGTCCCAGCTACTTTTGGGAGATTGAGACGAGGATTACTTGAGCTTTCGAGTTCAAGACCATCCCGGGCAACATAGTAAGACCCCCCCCCCCATCTCAAAAGAAATAAACAAAAAACCCCAAACCAACCAATAAAACAAATACAGCTATTGTTTCGCAGACATAATCTTCTAAATGGCTTTCAGGTTTTAACTTGATTCTCAACAAGATACTCTCAGGTCTCTTATTTTCCCCAATTTTACAAATGAGAGAATCGATTTTAGCAGGGTTTAATAAACTGCCAGGGTTATACCACCAGTAGGGAGCAGGAGGATTCAAACTCAACAAACTGGCTAAAGGGCCACTCGGCCAGTCACCACTTGATTATACTGACTTGCCCCAAGACTTTTGCATGGCCACGTATGTCCCATTTCACCAACAATGGGGAGACACATGAGACCAGAGAAAGAATGTGGGCTTGGAAAGCTGAAGGGCATTGGTTCCAATCTCAGTTCATCACTCACTCACTGGGGACGTCATCCCAGTTCCCTCTGCTGTATAAGATGGAGATGACAACCCCACCCTGGAGGTTTAGTAAAAGAATTAATAAGGGCTGGGAGTTAGCTCAGTGGTAGAGCACTTGCGTTGCATGCATAAAGCCCTGGGTTAGAGCCCCAGCACTGTGAAAAAGAAAAAAAAAAAGTACTAAATGAGATAATGTGTGATGTACCTAGCTAATCATGCTATTTTTCCTCCTGAGTTGTTCATAATATAATACCAAACCTACATTTTAACCCACCTTGTGAGAGCAATAATGCCCTGGCAGGCTAGTGAAATAAAATAACTTATCTTTTCTTTGCTTCTTTAATAACAAATTTTCTACCAGGCATTAAGTATAACTAAAATCTAGAATCAGTATAAAAACATACAGTATTTGAGAGAAGTGACTTAAAATATAAAATACTATTCGAAACAATGTTGTATTGGGTGTGTCCTGCCCAAGCAGGTTGAAAATGATTTTTGGTTATGTTGCAAGTCCTAGAAATTCTAAAGGGAGCAACAGAGAGTCCTTGTGCCACACAGGAAGCTTTAAGAAATGAATAAATTCTGGTTCATACAAGGGAATAAAAATAAGGCACAATACTATCTGCAAAATTTCAAAGCAGTTTTTTATGCAGTAGTAATTATCCCAAGAGAGTGCAAGTAAGATAATTAATTTGTTTGCTGCTTACCTGTGATAAAATTTGGGATCTGAGCTGCCCATTGTGCACTGGGCATTGCCGAAGATTCTGTGTACTCAAGAAGACTTTTCTCACAGTCCAGTAATTAGGTGCTATTGACATTGTAATCTTTGGAAATGTTCTTAATGAGCTCAAAAGACATGAATCTCATAGATAAAACCTCAAAGTAACAGTGGCTCTTTAAGTGGCYTGTCAGGAATAAAAGGCTCAAACATTAGTATCTGAAACACAGGAGAAGCCCAAATTTAAACCTAGATTACATTGTGTAGTTCATTCTCTGCAACCTCTAGGAAAGAAATATCCAGGAGTGATTTGAAAGGCTTGTGAATAATGGAATGATCACAGTGCATTTGCTATAATTGAAGGAACTTTCTTTTCACCTTTTGGAACTTTAAACCCGAAATGTATTTTATCTAAATCTAATTTTTACCAATTTATAAAGATAAATGTTTATTCAAAGTGGGGTTCAGAGTTCAGTGGTCCCTGTTGCTGTTTTGAATAACAAAAATAACCTTAAAAGGCATACGAGGAATTGGGATTTACATAGACAATAAAAAGAAATCTCAGGCATAAATAAAAATAAAATCCAAAAAGTTAGCATTATTTTATATATTGTTTCTAGATCATCAGCTATGATTAATATAATTTGGAGAGTTTTCAAATTTATATAAAAATGCATACCTTATATTTATACCATATGTATAAATAACACATAACATCTTTTAGCATATAATTGATAGAAGGTATTAAACAATGAATTATGGGTTAAGTTCCAAAATTAACCTGATTTATCACATACAGTATATTCATAGAAGCCTGTAAATATTAATGATGTCTCTGCCACCAACTTTCCTATTACTTCCTTTGTTGTCACCAAGTAGCTTTTATTCAGATGTCATATGTCTAGCTTGTATGTGCCAACTTGTCTTGGAGATTTGAGCTGATTCTCTACCTTTCCTTGGGAATTTTCCTTGCTTTTTGTACATTTATTATGAGATACTTTCTACTTGAGGCATACAGTTCATATATTAGATAATAAAGCCTAGAAGATCCATAGCTTGTCTCTTTAATTTGTCACTCCAAATGCAGGGAATTCAGTGACATAGAAAGGGTCAGGATAGCCAATTGGATTAAAGAAGTAATGGTAAAAGTAAGAAACTCTCTAACTAAAGCTCTGTCCATA